CCAATTGAATGGGAAGTGAATGTTGTGCACAGAAAACTTAGCCAATCAAAAAATAAAGTCTGTAGAAAATTATAGGTGCAGCAGCTGTTCTGAGAGCACAGGCAGCTCTTGATGTAGCCTCTGGGCAAAGATTTTAAACAGTGCCACAGACATTTAGGTAGCTTCTGTAGTCCTCAAACACATGCTGCTGAAAGAGGTCCCAAGATCTGTCCCAGTCCTCACAGTAACTGACCTTTAATTTAGAGTCTATAAATGAATTGCAACATTACTGTGGAGATAGAGGACAGGGACATATTGAAAATGGCTACAATATGATATCCCATGGGCTATAAAAACATTGATTTGGCTGCATTGCTTAAATTAATTACCTAGTGTCTCAAGGAACCTTTTCTTAAGTTACAAACACACTAATGAGAAGAATTTGCAGCTTGGCAATGGGGTCTCCTTGCGATCATTCTTTGACACAGCAGTAATTAGCACTTTATATTTAAAATACTTATCACAAAATCTTTGCTAACATGCACAGGTGTACTGAAAGCAATCAGATTCTGCTGTCAGTTTATGCCTGTGTGACTGTTAACTACTACAGTTTCTCCAGATCTGCAGAGGGGTAAACAAAACCAGAATCTGGCGTGGTTCTTTCCCAAACCCCAAGATGAATCCTTGTATTTATCTATATTCTTATTATAACTGAGCACCCCCCAGGTAATAAAGAATAAATGTAAATATTTATTTAACATCATTTCTGTCTCCCAAGACTATTTGACTAAGAGACAAATTGCATGAGACTGTCAGACCAGTTAGAAAGAATCTCTGAACCCACTTGGAGCTCTCTAAGATGACTGAAATAGTATTAGGCTAAGCAAATGGATTTAATTAAGTGTTGATGGATAATATCCTCTGTCTCATTCATTTTAGAGGAATTCAGGGGAGAGATACTGCATAATAAACATCATACAAAATTACTAGAAGAATGCGATTCAGTTGGTTTTTAAAACTATCCTTCCGGAAAATATTTTAGGGGCCTGATAACTCCTGAGCGCAGTGCATACAAACAGGTGCTCATCACTGTTGCCACATGTGAAGACCAGACTTGCAGCTGTTCCTGGGCTAAGCCCCAACCTTAGGGTTTGATTCATAGCCCCTTGGGTCTAATGGGACTCTTTCCCTTGCTTTCAGCATGACTAAAACGGTGTAGTTATAATGACTTTCAAGGGACCATGCCAGTTCTATGCTTTAGTAGTAGGGAGTTTGTAGGATCTTGTTTGAAAAACAAACACATCCTTGGACACTTGTTTAGCAGAACAGCACAGTCCCTATGCTCTTTGGGCAGAGTTTAGAGTAATACCAAGAATTTCGAAAAGTATAACTAACCCTAAAGAGAAGAGATGTTCATATGGCTATAGCAGTGGCCTGGGACTCAGGAGATCTGGTCTAGATTTGCCTTTCTGCCACAGACGTCCCATGTACCCTTGGCCAAGTCTCTTAATTTCTCTGCCTCAGGTTCAGATCTGTTATATGGGGGTAAAAATATTTCCTTTGGCTGTCTTGTCTATTGAGATTGAGCAGCAACTATTAGCTTAACAAAATGGTGGCCTTAGTTCATTCAGGGCATCTGGTCAGTATTGTAATTCAAATAATAATAATGACCTTTTAACATTACCTGTACAGACTGAAACCTTTAGTACAGTTAGATTGGGGGGGGGGGGAATTCTGCTGGATTAGGAACTCTAAACTGGAAAGCATCCCCCTTTGCCATCTCAACCAGTGCAAGAGAACCAAAATATTGCCCATCAGAGAGGACTTTTATTACAGAGCAGGTCATTGTACATGGCTGTTTCAAACTATTAAATAGGTCTCTTCCCCAAAGAGAGTAGTAGTAGTGCCAAAGTCAGTAGCAGGTTTGATCTTGGAATTTGAACTCCCCTGCATTTAGCTTCAGTTCTGACAGGACACCCTATGTCAAAACTGCTGCATTTGCAGCATGGTTAATCTTTTTTCAAAATGAGAGGGACCGGAGCACAGAGCATGAATAAAACTGTCTGTGAAATTTTCTATCAGAGTCTCCATTTAAAATGTAACTTCTTCTCTGACCATTTGCAAGTCAGGTCAGTATTCTTATTGCCTTTCATAACCCATCCTGTTTTATTAGAAGATTTCAAGCATAGGATAGGCACTTTCCGCTAAGTATTTTCTACCTTCTGGGGGACAGTGCAGTCACTGCAGAGTATGCTAGATGTGAATTTTGTTAAAGAAATGGTTCTCAGTTCAAGGCCTGCTTTTAAGACCTGATATAAATTCAGTGGGAGCTTTCTCTTTGATTTCAGTGGGCTTTGAATCAGACTGGTGTTGCAGTTCGTTGCTTTGGACCCCAGCCCCTCCAATAGGCTTTGAGGATATTTGACTCTGGTCAATGAGCTTGGCAGTGTACAACCCTTTTTGCTGTAGAGACTTTATACCTTTTCATGTGGTGACAACGCATGGTTCATCTTGAGACATAGATTATAATAGCTCTTAGTGCTATAAATTTCAGCACAATGCTCCTGTGAAGTAGGTGTATGTATAAATCAAACCCTCTTACCATATGCTAAATCATTTTCATCCTTTCCATCTTTTGTTTCTTTCTATGGATTTCTGTCCTCTTCTCAAGCTGCATCGTGAAGATGTGCAGTACAGACATTTCTAATAGGAGAAAGAGAAGAAAGACAACATGAGACTGCTCTGCTCCTGTGCGAGGTGCCCAAATCCTTCAGAGAGCCAGACTCAACCTTCTCTGCTTGGGAGCTTGGAGCCTCTGCGGAGTAGAACAGGGTGCGATGTTTCTGGTCTAATGTCCCTCCCTTTTAATTTTTCAGGGTCATGAGTTTTAATCTGTCACTGTCAGACATTTCTGCTGACAGGGGATTTCTTCCAATGAAAAACTGCAGCAGGGAGAACCTGTACTTATATAAGCATTCCACTCACTTAGGTAACTGCAACCCTATTGATGTCGTTAGGGGCACAGTCAGTGATTTTGGTTTAGTGTTTAGAATCGAGTCATATACTTGTTTAGAAAAGTCTGGATATGGATGCTACATCAGACAAAATGGGTTATTTACTGCATGTGTGGCATTTTCATTTAGCTTTTTTCAACTGTCAGACAAGGAATCTCTAGAATGAGGGAACGTTGAACTGAAGCACTGATAAATGTTTCTTCTGGGACTTATCTGAAATTCGTATCAGAAGTTCCTGGGTTTTGGTACCCTTACAAGAATCTGTACACAATGCACAGGGCTTCTGCATTATACTGTATCAGTGTGCCACCACCTATTGACATGTGAAGAGCAATGCAGACTGGAAAGCAGCTATCTTTCCAATGTGCATTTTGCTACATGCCTCCAGGCATATTGAAATAAAGTAAAAAGTAAGTGATAAAAGAGCTGATTTATTTTTTTAATACGACTGTCTAAAGGACCCAAGTAAATTTCAAAATGAAAATCGATGCTGGGAGACTAGGTGGCTTGAGAGAAGCACTATAATTTGAAAGCTTCTTCTCTAGGTTACCGATGATCAGGTTCATTTACTAGTTTTAACCAATCTGCTGTCTACCATTATAGGTGCTAGAATAGGATCAATATATTATAATGTCCAATGCTTTTATTACTGAAGAGAGCCTGGAGGCCAGACTACTATAATTTATCTAGTAAATGGAATATTTTATTTTTTCCCATTAGTATTTTTTCTCATTCCCTGGCAGCAAGTGTAGAGTCTTAGAATGTACAATAAAAGGACCTTCAAAATCTCGCATGCCATGTAATCAGATCACACTGCAATGTGCAAAACCATTGCTCCACAAGGCTTTGGATCCATAACACTTTATTTTTCATGCACTAGTATGAAATCATGTCCTCACCTCAAGTTGTTGCAAACAAAATCATTCCTATTGATTCTCATAATGTTTTGAGTGAATGCCTTCTTTTGACTTAAAGAACACTTAGAGCTGGTAAGAAGACCTTGTTTGATAGCCCTTGAGACTGAAAATGAAGTCCTCCTGTCATCTATACAAAAGGCACTGGATTAGTGTAAGCTTTCCCCCATAGTGTGCCTCCAGTCAAGTGTCAGGGGGTTTGCCTCTAAGAGGATATCTATACTCCTGTCAGAGATGTAATTGCAAATGTAGACTTCTCAGAGGTAGCTTTAATCTAACTAACACAGGTAGGTTAATAGAAATATAGGGCTTGAAGGGTCCTCCTGAAGTCATCTAGTGCAACCCTCTGCTCAAGGCAGGATCATTCCTGCTTAAACCATTTGTTTAAACCTGTTTCCTGCTTAAACCATTTGTTTTTAGTCCACTTGGTGGCAAGTGTTCGTCTAATCTGCTCTTTAATATCACCAAGGATTGCAATTCCACAACTACTCTGGCTTATCTATGTAAATGCTTAGCCACCACAATCGTGTGAAAATTTTTCATAATATCCTGACTACATTTCCTCTTTACCAATTTAAGACCATTATTTCTTGCCCCCTACGAACAACGAGAATAATCACCATCCTCTCTGTAACAACACTTCATATATTTGAAGGCTTATCAAATGCTCCCTCAGTCTTCTCTTTCCCAGATTAAATAATCTAAATTCTTCCAACCTTTCTTTGCATGTCATGTTTCCTAGACCCTAATAATTGTTGTTGCTCTCCGCTAGAATGTTTTTATTTTGTTCACATCCTTCTTGAAATGTGGTGCCCAGAAATGGATATACTACTCCAAGCAAGGCTTCACCAGTACTGAATATAGTAGAAGAATCAGTTCCCTTAACTGGCAAATGTCACTCTTATTAATACAAGCCAATACTCTACTGGTCTTTTCAACAGAAGGACACTGTTATAGTCCACTATAACCCCCAGATCCTTTTCTGCAGTACTATCATTTCCCAGTTTGCACTTGTGCATGTGACTGTTTCATCTGAACTGCAGGATTTTGCACTTATTCTTATCAAATTGCATTTAATTAATTTTAAACCAGTTTTCCAGTTTATCAAGGTCATGCTGAATCCTAATTATATCCTCCAAAGTGCCTGCAATTTCTCCCAGCTTTGCATTATCTGCAAATTTGGTAAGTGTGCACTCAATCCCATCCTCTAAGTCATTAATGAAGATATTAAACTATGCCAGACCCAGGGCAGACCTTCAGAGAACCCCCCCTTTTATACCTCTTCCCAATTCCCCCCCTTTTATACGTCTTCCCTGTTCACCAGGCCCCCCCTTGGAGTCACCAGGAACAATGGCCACAAGCTGAGGGAGGATAGGTTTAGGTTAGATATTAGGAAGAACTACTTCACTGTAAGGGTGCCCAGAGCCTGGAATAGGCTCCCCAGAAAGGTGGTGCTCTCACCTTCCCTGGAGATCTTCAAGAGGAGACTGGATAGGCACCTGGCTGGGGTCTTATGACCCCTCCTACCCCCAGTGCTCCTTCCTGCCCATGGCAGGGGGTCGGACTAGATGATCTGTCTAGGTCCCTTCTGACTCATTGATTTTATGATTCAATTGGACATCAAGCAATTGCTGACTACTTTTTGAGCACTATGATCCAAATGATTACAATCCAGATGAAACCACTGGATACATGACCATTTGGATGATTGTGATATGCACTGGCATTAGCAAAGCTTTTTGATACCTTCTCTTATGACACTCCCAGTGATCTAAGAAATGCAGTCCAGATGAAATACTGTAAAATGGATAAGTATTTCCTTAGATCACTAATGAGAATGTTGTGAGAGAAAGGTATCAAAAAGCTTTGCAAAAGTTGATGTATAACATTCTCTGCTCTGCCCCCATCCACAAAGTCCATCCCTTTGTTATAGAAGGAAATCAGATGGGTCATGAGTGACTAGGAGTATAGCTGAGGCAGAATGGAAGGGTGACTAGGAGCCCAGATATCTACCCAAGCATCCAGCTCCTGCTTAAGTCTGTGCTGCTGTGGCCTCACTGCCTACCTAGCTAGGTTAAAGCTAGTTCAAGTTTGTTTCCATATGCTACAATCATCTCTCTGACTGACTACAGTATAGATACACCCTAAGGGGTTAGACAGTAGCCTCTGTTCTATGGCTTGCCTTCCTTTCTTTGCCTCAGTAAGGACCTGGATCCAGTTGCAGGTTCCTCGCAGTCAGACTAAGAGTTGTGGGGGGATGATATGGAGGGTTACACCAGGAAGACTCCTGGAAACATCATGTGTTTGGGTAATTGCACAACATCTCTGAACACACAAAGCATCACATGGCTGCAAGCAGTGGCACTGAATACAGCGCCCTTAAAATAAAGATGCAAACTGACACCAGCTAAATAGAGTCCCTTTATTATTGCCAGAGCTCTGTGCATGAAATAGTCCCATCCTATTGTTTGATTTCCTATTGTTTGATTTCCCCTTAAGTAAATTAGCAGTCAGAGTATTGATTACCATACATTGAAATAATGGCCAGTTTACCTCAAGAAATCAGCCACCCACTAGCAAGGTCAATCCTGCACAACAAAACAGCAATTGCATTTATCTCAGCGCTGACCTTCAGCGATGTCTAGGGAAAGAAGAGCTCTTAAACATGACCTTGATAAAATCACTTCAGTGTACCTCAGTTTCCATCCATAACATTGGGATAATTCATGCCTAGAGTCTTACAGTCTGTCCTTGGATGAAAGATGCTATAAAAGAGGTCCACCCCCCACCAACTATACAGAAGTCTTCCCACTGCAGTCCTTATTTTGACAGAAACTGACAACTTCCTTTTGGAAAGTTAACTAATATTCTTGGTAGTGTGTAGTGATGAGGCATTTAATCAGTAGTAATCATTCAAGACAGTCCTGTTATCTAGATCACAAAGATCTTCTGGTTTTCATTTGACTGGTGCTTTTGTTCAGCAAAGCACAGGAGCTGTTGCAATAGTGTTTGCTGTTTTACAGGATAAAGAGCAAGGATGACAAATGCAGAGAATGGAAAATATAAGAAAAATTGTTTCTCAACACAAGGATTTGAGAGTTTACTGTGAGTTGTCAGTAGATTTTTAAAAGACAACTCTAGAGAATTAACATTCATACAGGGAGGAATTTATCCTCAACAGGTTTCTTTCTGCACTGCATTGAATAAGGGAAGTTAAAGATAAACTTTGCCTTCACAAGCAGGTCCTTCGGAGAAGGACCTGGGACAATACAGATGAATACCCTGGTGAAAGTGCACCACTTTTTATGCCTGTTTACAGAAACAACAGCGATCTGAATGAAGGGCTGCAGGATGTTGCTCATGAGATATGAAGCACTACAGAAGGAGTTACCAAAATTGTAGAGAAAATGCCATTTCTTGTTATCTCTTGTTACATTGACAAACTCAGCCTCTCCACCCCACACTGACTGCAACTATAAAATGTCATTATGGCACAGAGGAGCCCAATATCTTTAATACTCTCCTTTTATTGAATGAAGAATTTACATTTAATAATGTCTAGACAGGAACACTTCTTACCTTTATAAGGGTCATGGCCCAGGGTACCAAGCAATGTTTGGCTAGGGACAAAAGTTACACATAAACAGATTTAAGTGATCAAAAATGGGTTGAAACCTGTAACAGAACAGAAGTTCAGTACACATAAACCAGTTTCAAAATGGCTGGAACTGCTTTTAGATAAACCTAGTTGAATGTAGTATCAGACTTAACTGATTTAGGTCAAACCAGTTGATGAAACTTCTGTCACAGATGCCTTCCTGGTTCAAGTTAAATTACAGTCCCCCACCATCCCAGCACGCTTTTTAACCCTGGGCTGGTCTGTCTCCTCCAGAGAGCAGGGCTGGCCCTGTCCCTCCACAACCTAGCTGAAGCAGTGAGGGCTGGCTCACTGCCTCCCTGGCAAATCCCAGCAGGGATTTGGGACCAGGGAAGGGGGTTAAACTCATCTTGCCCTGAATACAGAGCTGACCTGCCCTGCTGGCTTACTCAATACTGACTGCAGCTGTGGACCACAAACCCTAGAGGCACCTAGAAACTGGAAGAGGAAGTGATGAGCAATTCTGTAGGGTCCTGCTGCTGTGATTGTGGGCTGCAAATCCCAGAGACTGGGATGGGAGAGGGGGCAGCAGGAAGAGGAAGCAAACACAAAGCCCATGCTGGCTATGTGCCAGACAGATGTGCTCTAGCACCACCCAGCTTCTGGCTTGAGCCACTGCAGGCATGTGGCTGCATTTCCTGAATCACAAGTGAATGTCTGTTCATTTGCTTATTGGTTCAACCTTTGCAGCTTAGACTAACCTGCAAAGACTAAATCAATTCGGCCTCAGGCTTTCTGACTGTCTGTACTTAGCCTTTCACTTCCAGGTTTTTAAAGGGTCAAGGCCAAGGGTTTCAGGAGAGATAAGCAGACAGGTGGTCCACCTTCTCAGGATACTTGCCTGGATTGGAGAAGGTAGGGTCGGGTCTCCTGCTTTGTTCTACAACGTACTAGGAATGGGCTCTTAACTGCTCCAGTTGCTGAGATTATAACATGCCTTATGTCTAGGACACCCTGAATAAGTGGACGAAAAACAAATGTTAGTGGACCATGGGGCATATAGGAAGGAGGGAGTAGATCTTATGAGGTAGAGTATAATGGATTTGACTTAATGTTTTCTTTTTAGAACCCCTCTTGTTGGGATGGAATTCTCCTTTGTTTCAGGGAGACCTCGATATACCTCTGTGCTCAGGGAGGGCAGAAGTAGGGATATTAACTCATTTGCTTAAAATGGCCCTGAGAAGAGTGGTATCTGAAGGTAACTTTAGTTTCTATCACTGAAAGTGTGGACAAGGGGGAAGATGTTTTTTATTAGGGTGAATATCAACTCCTATTTTTGGGCTCAAGGAGCTGAGCTATTGGCTGCAAAGTCTTTCCCTTCCCTCTTCCTACAGCCTAATGGCAGAAGTAGCAGAGGAGATGTAGTACTTTTCATTGCCCAAAGGGCTGTGAGGGGAGGGTTAGTATTTTCTGTCACCCAAGTCCCACTGCCAGAGGAGAGAACAAAGGTTCTCACCCTGATGGGCTGGAAGACACAATCTCTCCCTCAGCACCATGTGATTGGGAAGACACAGAATAGCCAGTAGAAATTCTCTAATTTCTCCATTCCCCAAGCTCCAGAATGGGCAAAGAGTCTGAATAGTGGCTGAACGATGAAGGAATATCAGTAAGCTCCATTGTGTTTAGCAATTGCATTATTTTGTTCACCCAGTCCTGGCTAGACCACACTCCCACATGCCTGTGGCTTCTGGAAGATGTGGTTCTATTGCATCACTGTCCTGTATTGGGCAGAATACCCACAGGAATGATTCAATGAGAAAACTTGCATCTTCAAGCCAAGTGACAAGACGTCATCTAATGTGTTTGGCATTTGTCCCAGAATTTTTTCTGTTTATTGAAGGTGTTACCTCTACTAATCCCAGAGGTGTCACAGCACAGTGACAGTGCCAAGATCTGAGTAAGCATCTTGGAAGTCTCAATATTCAATTGCATATCAAAGACATGTATTTAATACACAATTAATGTGACAAAGACTATCTCGGTGATAGCCGCAACAACACATGCCATCAGCTGTAGTGTTTAGCTTGGGTAGCTTCACTAAAGGCAGTTATTTTATTCATTTTGTGGTGCCAATAGGCAACAAATTACACCGTTCCTAAATGCATTTAATATGCAATCTCACTTACATTATCTATTTTGTTCACATGTCCCAGCTAGTATGCATACAAGTATTATGGTAACACATGCTAATTAAAAGCCAATTATTCATTAAAAATGAATAATAAAATAATAAAACCATTGAATCTCCTTAGCTATCACTAGAATAGTACATACTGGGTGTGTCTACATGTGCATTAATGCACTTTAGTTAATTCACATTAAATCTAGTACCACTTTCACATGTGCTCTGGGGATGGGAGGAGGCAAAGCTTTATTTAGGGTGGGTCTGACAGCCACTCTAAATAAAGCACTGCTGCATCTCATGTATCAGCATCCTCACACTTAAAAATGAAAGCAGAAGCACATAATCTAAAGCTCTTTTGATGAGCTGTAGTTCAAGTGCTCCCGCTGCCATTTTTAAGCATGGGGATGCTGATACACGAGAAGAAGGAGGCTGTTGGAGTATGGTAATTGCCACACTCCATTAGACTTGATTAATAGAGTCTGCTTCAACGCACTGGAATTCCAGCATGTTGAAGCAGCCTCTGTGCTCGTGTATAGGCACCCCCCACTGTGAAGTACTAGGAAAATGTGCATTAGCCTGTCTTAATGTGCATTAACTAAAGAGCATGGGGCACCTATACATGAGTGCCAAGGCTGCTCTGATGTGCTGGAATTCCAGCTCCCAGAGTCACTCTAATTAAAATGCTGCCCCACCCCTCCCCCCAACCTCTGGATCATGTGTAAAAGTGCCCACGGTTTTTAAGTAATGCTTAATGCACATTAGCCTATTTTAATGCATATTAACTAAATAGCATTTTTTTAGAGATGCTTTAATGTGCATTAAAATAGGCTAATGTACCTTAAAGCGCACATGTAGACATGCCCATTTATTGCTAATTTAGAATAGATCAACTGTGTTTAATCTGCAGCCCTACTCTTACATAACACCTGAATCCATAGCGCCAGTTATTTAGAAAGGATTTACAGTGTTGCTTGTTAGCATTACACAGCCAGCCTTGACTGAGTGACAATCAATACAATGTATTTGCTCACTTTTGTATTAGCACACATGAATGTTTCCAGCTGTTACAATGAACTGGGTTGTGTCTCAGTCATCAGAATATGTGCAGCTTCATTAAGTTTTGCCTTTTTAAGTAGTTGGTTTACTCTTGTTTAATCTTCCAGATAGACCACCTGAAACCTGCTCTCCTTTGTTTGTATTATTTGAGGTTTTATGCCTCTGGCTGGGTATTTTACATAACTTTATCTTCAGGCTTCAGAAACATAGTGGAAGAGAATCAAAGTCCACAGGGAGCTGAGAGCACTTGATGTTTCTTGATTTAAGAACCATTCAAAGTTTTAGCTGCCAGAAAAGGGAAATATAGGCTTTTGTATGTTCTGTATTTTGTATACATTTTTGCTGTAAATTAATATTTGTGTTACAGGCCAGCAGGCTCATAAACAAGGCCAAGTTAAGCTAGCAGAACATGCTGGCAGCTCCCCAGTGTAAACATCACAATAATGAGTAATCTGGTGGGACTGTGGTGTGTAATCAAGTGGGACTAAAAAATGAAGACCTCACTGGTCACCCTTGCAATATTCATATATGCACGGTTGTATCACAGTATTTTTTGGAGGTCAGAGACCCCAGAGGACAACACGATCCAGTTTATGTGCTTCACAACTCCTGAGCTTCTAGTGAAGAATCAGGGCAATATAAGCAAACTTGCAGAAGTACGGACAGGCAATGAAGTCTAACTAGAGGCAGTCTGTGGTGCTACCTGTAGCTAGGGTTGCTCAACACTTCCCCTTAAGATTTTGTTCTCAGTTGTTCACACATTTTCAAAACTCCGCTGTTTGGGCTGAAGGTTTCCATGCTGGGTGTCTGTCTCAGGCAGAATTTTGTTTCAGAAAGATTCAGCCAAAATGGTTGATCCATTTCTGAAAATGAAGAATGTTGGTTTGTAATTGTTAAAAGCAATCCAGAGAAGACCAGTGTTTCCATACGCACCCACTGGAAATTTCCAAGCCATTCAGTACCACTCAGTGACCAAGCATGGAACAGAAACTCTCCAGAATAAATATCTATAACCTGTTACATGTCAGAAGCACTCCAACAGCAGGTGCCAGTACAGCTAAAACGTTCTTCTTTCCCCTCCTACTTTAATGTTTTCCTTTTTACTTCTTCCAGGAACCATGGCCTGAAAATCAGGAGATGGTGATAGCTTAAAGGGATTTCAGCTCATTTGACTTCATAAAACCGTCCTCCTAAATCATCTTCAGTGGGAAGTAATAGAGTGAAGTTTAAACTCTCCTAAGAATATTTTCCTAAGGTGCTTGTTTGAACTCAGACTATGATGTAATTACAGGACAATTTTGCTCTGTTGCTCCCTGGGAACTTCATCAACAAGTTACAAGAGTGCCAGTAATCATTCTCATTTATTAAGCCAAGACATCAATTCACCAAAATTGCTCTGTTTGCCCTTTCAAATCATTGAAGAGCATATGGATCCTAATAAACAGTAACTGAAGGTGCACTTATTTGGCTTGGTTCTAAGTTTCTCTTTCCCTTGATCTTATTATTTCTCAAAAGAGAATAAGACATTCAAATTTCCTAAACAAATAT